AAGGGAAAGGGAAAGGGAAAGGGAAACTTATTTTGTTTTGCATACTGGACAAGGTAGCCTAAGCCTAGCCAAGGAGCTCTTTTGAAGATGTGTTCTGACCTTAGCAAAGAAGCTCCAAATTTGTTTGTTTAAAGAAACTGAAAATAAGACAAATACAAGCAATTGGCCTGGCCAATAAAATCCAGTGTAATGAAACGTTAGATACCTGGAAAGAAATTTGTTTATAGAAAAATAGCACCTGGACTGACAATAAAATTGATGGGCATGAGAGTTATGATCCAACTACTTTATTGATGCTATTTTGCACTTTTCAAGAGTTTGGCATGTAGCAGGTACAGCATGTTGAAAAGTCATCTTCCACCAGGAGATGGTTAGACTTCATATGCACAACCCAGTCCATTGTGTAAGATATGCCATTTTGCCCAAAAGGCAGGAAAATGTTATCAGTTTGAAATTAAAAAACACTTTACAATTAAGACATAAACCTGCCAAAATCCCCTAAAAGCACAGAGATAACTATGCATGAGACACTTTAGTCAGGGAGATCAAAAAGCCTCCTCAAGTTCTCTTTGCAGAAACAGAGCCTCCTATGATTTAGGAGTATGCCCATTTCTATTTTGTTTAGATAATTTCTTAAACATTCTTGCTATGGAAAACAGGTAGACTCAGAACAGATATAGACAAATACCATGTGAGCCAAGGAGTTTTAACTATCATTCCTTGTTTTTTAACCAAGTCTGATTGTACTCTTGTTACTTAAGACATCAACATTTTCCTTGAGGAACTCCGGGAATCAGAGCATGTATTTACAAGATCTTAATTTATTCCAAGACTTGCTTACTGGATTTTTTTTTTTTTTTTTTTTTTTTTTGCAAGTTAAACATAAATTCCAGTTGATACATGAAAAACATGCGCAGGAGTAGAGCTTTCTGACTGCTGCTGGTTTTGATGTACTGCTAATAGCCAATATTTTCTATAGGGGTTAAAGAAAAAAGCACATCAAGATACAAAAAGTGGCTAATTATACTTAGTCCACTACTAGGCACCTAAGTGATTGCCTCATTTTCCAGCAGGGCAGTGACCTGTCAAGTGTACTTCAGATTCTATGTCGGCTTCCCAGCTCATTCTCTATGCTCAGTTTGGTCACATTGGTCCCCACACCTTAAACAACAACAACAAAAACCTCCTGTACCACTGAAGGAGCATGAACTTATCTCATCAGGACACTGCACAGAAAACTGCATGTCCCTTGTGTATTTGATTGGTAAAACTGATCCATGAGGTAAGGGACATTTCTGCAACCGTATCTGAGAATTTAAAGTTTCTCACGTCTCTACACCAATGATAAAGGTGAGTTTATCACCCTAAATTAACACAAAGTGCTGCTCCCTGTATTTTGGGAGCCAATGGCAGCGAGACAGCAAAAGATTTATGTGCAAGTGCTGCATATGGCTATCAAGTACACAAAAAATAGCTAAGGTGGGCATGTGTATTCAATAGCTCACAGTAGTTAGAAACAATGTGCAGTGCACTTGGGAGTAAGATTGTGGTTTGCACTAAGGAAATCATGTACATGCTTTGTCCAGCTATGATGTTTAATGGTGGCTGGCACTCAAGTTGATGCTAAAAATCTGGAAGAACAGGACTTGACATGAGCTCAAAATGTGAAAAAAATTACTGATTTCCTTCCATTGTATTCATTGGTTGAAATAACTTTTAGGTGCAAAGTGAAAAAATAAAAAAAAATTGATCCTTTTTTCCAGAATTTGCTAATAAAATACATGCCAACACCAGGCAAAAAAAAATTCCTTTCAACATACTGAAACCTTGTTCCACAGTCTCCAAAGGTAGTTCCTGTGACTCAATGATTCTGAGTTCAAGGGGTTTTACTGGTTCAAGAAGAAAACTCGTGTGAAAGAGAAATCACTGAAATGTATCACAGGTGTTCCATCTGAGCAGTTCTGGGCCAACTGCAGCACTAGGCCAACAGTTCCATCCCCAACATGTCTTGCTGTTGATGTTGTTGTTCATTTGCTTTTTGGTCTAAGTCTATCAAGTATGAGAACATTTTTTTTTAATCCAAAACCAAATAAAATCATGTAGGCATGATTTTCAGATTAAACCCAGCTATAATTGGCAGAAAATTCAAACAAGTATAAAGATGAATGTACATCAGTTGTAGCTACACAGCCTATCTAGGAGCTGGAGCAACTTATAGTATCTCCAAGATAGTATCTCCAAGAAAACTCTTATATCAGGGGAATCCTCAGCAGACTTGGCAAATTTTCTTCTATGCCAGAAGAGTTGTATAGAATTGTAGATAGATAACAGTATCTTGAAGACAGCATGGAGCTCGCCACAAAGTCAGAAACAGCTGAATTACAGATGCACACTGATATGCAAAACACAAGAAGGCTGTTTAGATTTTGGCTATATGCAAGAGTTACCTCTAATCTCATAAGTTCAAGTTAGAACCTGAGTGCTGATGTAATAACACTGATTTTTATGATCACGAGTTATATTAACACATTTAACACTATCATGACTACTGTTCACCTGCAAATACTCAAATGATGTAATTTTTTGATCTGCACAGTATTCAAATTCACTGAAATTTTAAAACATCATTAGGGAAATGTATTTGATGCATATATTTAATTATGTTATTTTTCTTATTAATTACTAGAGAATTAATAAATCTCCGTAACCAGAAGAGCAGTTAGAAAGTATGGAAAATAAGTTAAAAAACTAGGGACAAGGACCAAATGAGGAATCTGCTCAGAACCATGGCATCCAGAAACCATATGGAATAAGTTATGAGGGAAAGCTATTAAAGCAATGAACATAAATGATTTCAAGAGACATCTAAACTGTTTCCGAGAAAAGAGGCAGAGGGAAGTTGTTAAAAAGAGAGGATAAAAAATAAAGGTGGAAGAAAAGATCAATGAAAAGAGAAATCTGTTGGACAGATGTTCTTATTCTGCTCCTAGAATAGCTTTATTTACTGAAATTGAAAATTTATGTAAAAATGTAATACCACATTTGCCCAGTAGCCTGAATTAAAAACTAGAATCTCAGCCATATTTTTAATTTCCTTGAATCCACTTCACTGAACTTTAGATTCCCTAGTGAAGTGTAGGCTCCTTGACCCACAACTGCAGACATCCTGGACCACCCCTGATCTGCAACCAAACCTAAAGCAGCCTCTGAGGGTGCCTGTTACTGTCAGCAAGGTATAAGAGGTCACAACAGGAAACACAGAATGAACTCATCCAGAATGGGTAGAGTTCAAGGCCACAGCCCATCTTGTGCTCCCCAAAATACGTGAGGATAGGCAAGAGAGGATGAAATTAAGCTTGTCTGTGTACACCCTGCAAGACTTTGTGGCTCCAGGCACAAATGGGTGCATTGGTACTACCACAGACACACTGAGCAATCAGTCAGGCAACAAAAAGTTTCATCATCTCTTTCTTCCCCCGTGTGACATCACCAGTCAGACATGGTAGTTTCCTCCAGGAAATGGCTTATTTTAAAGTCATTTTAAAGGATTTTAAACCTCTGGTTATTTACATGACATGGTAATAAACATAGACTGCTTTTCCCCAGGAGTCCTTCTACATAAGTTGTAGCCACATGTTATGCAGCAATGATCATTGCGTGCATGTGTGAGCCTGTGCATATGTGTGTCCAGATGCCTTCTGCTTTAAGAATTCAGAACTGGAAAGGGAAATCATAAGCATAACCAGTTTGGGGGGGTTTTACTGTAATGCTCTTCAATGGGTGTTAGCAACAAATCACCCATCTCTTCTTCAAAAAGAGACTGTTTTGAATCCAAAAAAGCTAAATATTTTCCTGTATTCATCGTCTGTTTGAATTAGGTTAGTTAAAGGTAGTTAGAGTGTTCCTCCTCTCCTTTTGCCTACTTTCCATCTTGCTTTAAGGTCATAGGAGGTATCAACAGCATCTTAAAGTTTTATGGACAGATTATTGGTTACAGTCCTCCTGAACCATCCTAGCTGTAGAGCTGCCATACAGACTAGAACAATCTCCAGCAGGTCTTGAGCGGGTCCCTTGGTCCTTTGTGCACTCTTATAGAACCAGCAAGAGCTTCAATGCCATATCCTTGCTCAAAACATGCATTCTGCTCCATACACAGAAGAGAGAATTGCCATGTGTCCTTGTACAAGACCAAAAGAGCACAAATCAGCTCCGGTAGAGCCCTTAAATTACAGTCTCAGACTTCCTGAATTTTTCTCTTTGGAAGCTTTGAGAGCTCCCAGATACACCATAATAAGAAATAAGAATAAGATTTTACAACTGTACCACAAAACAGTAGTTACCCCAAAACAAGAGTCTGGCAGCTGTTTGCTTGGTTGTATATTTAAGTGACTGGTTTTTTACGCAGCTTACCCCATTGCTGGTGGGAATTTGATAAGCCACCACAAAAAGAACTGAATTAGTGATTTCATTTCAAAGGCATCTTACCAGTGGGCTACCATCAGTCCAGCGGAAATCTCGCTCAAACATCTTGTCGTTGAGGCCAATCCACTGATAGTCATGCCCAATACCTAAGGAAAGAGAAGGGTATTTTTATTAACCTTCCCATAAATGGAAGAGACTTCACCAAAGAACCTAAAAAGAATTTGCACAGAATGAATCAGACATCCTGTTCTTAAGATTCTTCTACTCATTATGAAACAAGTATTTACAGGCCAGTTTACAGCTTTTCAGTTTTAATTTGGAATGTTTATAAAAATGAAGCTTCTCATTCTTAAACAAGTTTTAAAGTCTTGTTTAAAACTGTTAGTTTTATTTATTTTATTTATTTTTCTTACATGTCATCATGTATGAAGGGAAGAGAAAAAAAAGCAAAAATATTAAAATAATAAAAGCACATATTTTAACACATATTTTTTGTTTTCAGGCTGTGACCAGTGTTGTCTAGATTGTGCAACACAACATACAGGAACTATTTCTTTATTCCTACTCGATACAATATGTGGTGGTGTGGTCATTGATGTCACGGCCACAAAAAATCTAAAACCTCCAGAAAATGTTTCATCATTTTCCAATGCCTAAACAACAGTTTCTGTTCTTTTCCTCAAAACCAAAGTATTTTCTGTGTCACAAAAACTTCATAGTGATAGAGAACTTGAATTGACTGCAAAAGTAAACATGAAGAACACAAAGGGTGCCTTTTAAACTTTATAAAAGATATTTTAAGACTGAAATGTAAAAGCTGAATGATCAGGAGGGTATTTGGCTGGCTCTGAACCCTTGGTGTCTGCTCTTGTTTAGAGGAACCCCAACAATACGTACGGTTCACAAAGATCTGCTCCTCATGAGACAAGATGCTTGTCAAGTGTGCTCCCTGCAGACGACACTCCCTTTCAGCCGTGTCCCACGTGCGCCGGTGGGCAAAGTATTTGTAGCACTGTCCTTGGAACTTGTGCCAGCCATAATCACATGTCTCCGTGTCTGTGACAAACAAACAAATCACATCTCTGTCAACAGGTGTGAATCACAGGCATGGTTCATGCAGGCAGATGGATTTTCTGAGGGGTGAAGGTTCAAGAAGATAGCCACTCATTAAGCGGTACAAATGCAAAAAGTCAACACTCATCCTTGAGAACGCCGTATTTTCAGGTGGTTCTGTTCACTTAGTTTCAGTACAAGCTGAAAGAATATTACTTATATATGGAGTATAATTGCAACTGGCTGCTTTGTGAGCTTCCACGGATCAAGTGGTGCTGTATCTGGAAAATCTCAGGACGTACTCAGTCCATACCTCTGGATGAATGAAATGCCTGCATGTGGGACAGACTGCACTCCGTCTACATCTGAGTTTTGAGCATGTATATGAATATGGGAATTTTTACTTGCAAGGGTAAATAGTTCTTTGAGTGAGTGTACCTTGTTTTGGAACAAACTGATAACTGAAAAGAATTTGAAGGGAAGTGTTTGTGATTGCTCAGTCCACAGATAAAAAGCTGCAGTATTATTTTTTTCTGATTTTATCCAAATCTTCCTTCAAAACCCATCCTTCCTGATAAAGTCTAACTTAATAAACTTTAGGCACCAGTTTCTAAGGAAGGCTGTAAAGCTGAAATATAAAGTACTGACATGCACACTGTCTGTTCTTGTATGAGGGATAGTACTGATAAGAATGCATTTTAAGACAGAAGTTCACATCATCCAGCATATCCTTTAATCTAAAGAAAAACAAACACAAGCCTTGGAACAGCTACAATCTGTGGATTTGACATTCATTATTTTGTCAAGGTTAGGCAGCTGTAAACAGAATAGATGGCAAGAAACAACACAGTTCCAGTTTCAAGTGTGCTTCTGCACCAACACTGCAGGAATGAACCACAGACAAAAAAAAAACAGTATTAATAAGATAGGCATAACAAATATGATGTCTGAATGTGTCTGGGCTGTGCCTAATGGTGAGAAAAACTTGCTACCCAGAAAAGAGAGTTGTAGGGAGGAATGGGAGAAACAACAGGGAAAACTCAAGACTATTCCAAGTTACAGCAGATGAAGTGGTGTAATAAAGGTCATTTCAGCACAAACTGCAGCTTGTTCTGTCCACAGCTGGTTCCAGATACCTAAGTATATGATGGCTCACCCTGAAGGGCCTCAGTTTCAGGATGCTGCAGAACAGAAACACAATGCTTGGCTTTTCCCAATCCCCAAAAAGGAATTTGCTACTTCCCACTAAGTTTTAGCAGTTCAAAACCCAAACTGTGCATGAAAGCAACTGTTTAGCCTTTCCAGAATTATAGGTATGTTCTGGATATGAAACTGGATTTCTTATTTTCACTAAACAAATATAGTCAATAACATGCTTAGGCCAAAAAGACTTTTTTCCCACTAGTACAGAAAAAGCCTAATATTACAGAATATGTCAATGACATATGACTGCAAAGTCTTTAACAATGGTTTTTGTTAGATTTGAGCAGCTACCACCTGAGATACAATTGTGGGATAATTTTTTTTCACAGAACAATGCTTGTTCTTATTTCACAGCAAGAAGAGGCCTTTCACATCCTGAAGCACCAAAGTGTCTATTTTTAAAATAAGTTTTCAAATCTTCCATGACAAAAACTAGATTTTACACGATTTAAGAGTGCAAACATATCACTATGGAGGCTTACCAGAATTTCTCTTCACAACTCAGCTTCAGAATGGCAATGCTAATAACACATCAATCATTGTCTTAGGAGTCTGGTATCAAAATCTTTTACTAGAAGTCATTAGTATACACATAAAGGTACCAAGCACAAAGGCATAAAAGAGCTTATACTGATTATCTTTTTATGTTCAAGAAGTTAAGCTGTAGAAAACTGCTTGTACCTCGAATAATCCCAGCTATGAAAAAGGAATGTAATCTATATTACCAACTTGCTAGTTTTTTATCTTCTCCCTCTTTGTGTTTTGTATGAGGTACAGGCTGCAGATACCACTTTAATCTCTGGCATCTAGGCCATTTTAAAGTTTAGTCTGCCTTTGGCTTTATTGAACATTTGCTTAATCACACTATGCTGATTAACAATGCTGTGTCCTTTATGAAGGCACTTAAGATTCTATTATTCATCTTGTTCAGGAACTCCCTTATCCCACAGGAAAGGAATCAGATAATAACAAACAGCAATGCTTCCGGAGAAAACTGTGGCCAGAGAGAATTTCCAGGCTATTCTCAGCAAGCCTTCCCTGGTTTCTGCTAGAGAAGTGATTCAAAAGATCTGCTGAAAGGCACATGGGGGAGGCAAAGAGACTTGAAAACACAAACCCTAGAAGACTGGGTTCAAAGAATGACATGCAGTGTGCTGAATATGGTTCACAAATAACAAATTTTCTCTTCTTAAGACAAAGGATGCCAAAGGGTGACATAGGTACTCTTAGTTGACATGCATACACTGCAGTGCACACACCACTCCTCCCTCCTATCCAAAATGGCACACCATTTTCTGAAAGGGAAAAGCTGAGTGACTTCTTCTGCAGTTGTTTGTAGCCCAAATCTACAAAGACAGAAGAAAGACGGAGCTGATGGCTATAAAATATTTAGGATTTTTAGAAGGGGAAGAGGAAATTTATTTATTTATTTATTTATTTATTTACTAAAGTAGAGGTTGATGAGAACAGGTTAAAAAGGAATGGGGAGAGGTAGGAGGGTAGAGGATGATCTCTGCAGTATAAAAGGTAAAAACTCCATATGGGTATAAACTTTTAGTGCTTTTACTGAACCACTAAAGTCTAATTGCAAGTGGCTGTAAATTTTCTGACCTTTGAGTAAAGTAGGTGCAAGCACTTACTGAGTACAATACTCCATGTTCATTGTATACTTATGCAGGGATGTAATCACAACTTTCCAAAATTTTATTCCAGAATGTGATGGAAGGACTGAAACTCTGCTTGACATATTTATGGTGTTTTAACTGTTATCTTAAGATTTATGGCAGTTTACAGGCTTTTTCAGTGGTGTGTGCAAGGAGGGACTTACACAGCTTCTGTTTTCTGTAACTGCAGTTGCCTATTTAAAACATCTCTAAACACTGCATTAAAGAAAAAGGTTCTCAGTAGGTTTAATACTTAGATAGGCACCTCTTTTTTAACAGCTAAGTACCTCTTTTTTAACAGTAGAAATAAGCTACTGACAATAGCTCTCTTGTCTTTAAAGAAATATCATATGGGGCTTAAAGAAAATAAAGACTGAAACACAGGTACTAGAACATAATAAGAGTCTTACTCAGCTGTGAATTTTATCTGTGACTGTCTTCAAATAGTGAACAAATGCCTGGGGCCCATTAGCCCACACATCTTGAGGAGAAACCATTTCTCTGGTAAATATTCAAAAATCCCTTCTCAGCTGAAATACATCAGTTAGAGACCATCTGTTTTCAGAAAGTATCTCTGCACTGAGCTCTTCTCAAAAGCTTCCATCCCAAGCTATCCAGCCCTGGGAACAATGTGAATCAAATGAGCCTGGAGTAATCACGGACATTCAAGCAATGAACTTGGGTTATTAAAAAACAATGTTCCTGATATCATGATTAAGAAAACCAGTTGTTTTGCTTTCAGAACCTGGAAGAGAACAGCTGGTTGTATTATCCCAAGGAGGCAAGTCCTGTAACAAACACTTTTGTGCCATTTTGGCACACAGGTCCACGCATGCAGCTGCATTTGGTAAACAGGCTAGCCTAGGTGGGCCTGCAGAGATCCTGCAGCAGAGAAAGCCAAGCCTTAATTTTAAAGCACAAACACCATTCCTTGAAAGCAGGTAGACATCACTTAGAAAAGCAAAAGGAGGGGGGAAAAAAACCCCGAAACTCTAACCAGCCAAGGAAGGAAGAGGACAAGCTAATCATTCAGTTCTCATAAAGAACACCTATTCTTGAAATTGTGGTTCAGCTTGCAAGCCTCTATGATTTTGTTGTTTCCCATGTAACTATTCATGAAGTAAGGTACTCTTCACCACAAATACAGATGTCTGAATAATGCAACCACAGCTTCAGACTTTCATATGCCCCACTGGTCCCTGGGAAATATTCTGTACAGTTGGTTCCACCAGCCCAGTGTGAGACAGGTTATCAAACAACCCTTCTCTCCTCTGTCCCCAAACATGGACCTTGCAAAGCAATGCTTCAGGCAGAAAAATTGGGAGGATCTAAATGCTAGACTCATTTATCTGGACACTGAGAGCTGTCATAAGGGCTTTTCACAGAGGCAGGTCAATGTAAATTTTGATGGCTCCCCCAGGATAACACTTGCATCGAGATCTACTGTAGTTTGCAGTCACCCTTTGAAAAAGTGTTTTGGTTATATTTCTGCATTTTAAGAAGTGATGCTCAAATGTCATCATGTGCCATACAGAATGTGCATCTGTACCTTGAAAAGACACATGTGGTGGGCAGAAGAGTGTACTATCTAACAGAAGTAGTCCAGTTGCTTTTAGTCTATCCTGAACCAGGGACAATGCTGGTTTGCTGAGCTACCAACCTAGTTTAAAAAGGAAACACCCTCAGCTGCTCTATTTCTAACATCAGACAACTTTAGCTGTCTTCAGGAAGAAGTTCCTGGGCTCAGATTGTCTGCTGAACTCTTTCCACTTGGCAAGAAAGCAGCTGTCAGGGAGCCAATGACATCTCACTGAGTTTCAGGATTGATTTCCCTCACCCTAGGTTAGATCACCCTGAAGGCTCCTCTAACTTCTACCACCTGCCAGACATCCCTGATGTGCAGCTGCACTATTCTCTGGTCACATCCCCTCCTAGTGCTGTCACAGGCACAACACATCAGCTGAAGATCTCTTAGTCTAGGATGGACCCATGGGGGCATTTGAGTGAAATTCTGACTCTATATGTTTTTTCTACACTAGTACTGTGGAACCAGGATGTGGTGGAATTGTCTCCAAATTCAAGCTTCTTTTCCAGAAGACAACGCATGCTTGCTGCTTCTGTTCCCTTCCAGGGCATTTTGAACACCCAGCACTGTGCCTAAGACAGCCCTTCACCTTGACCTTTTTCAAAGCCTTCTAAAATATATAGTAAATATGGGGAGAAAAAAAAAAAAAAAGAAAGAAAAAAGGGAGTAATGAAATCTAATCTTGGTGTGCTCAGCCCCACCTTTCCTGTGGCACCAAGGTGCACATTCTGTCGTTGTGGCTGGTCTTTCAATCTAGTGAGGTCAAGACTGGTGCCTTGAAATAGAGCCTGCTTGCCAGACAACCATGTCTGAATCACCAACACGGTTTTATTTTGTCTGGTGGAGTGGAAATTTGGCACTAAATGCTTTTCCCAAGTCCCAAACCACTGCAGGACTTTAAGTGGAGGAAATTTAAATTCCAAAGCTGAATGAGCAGGGCTCTGGTTCTGATTGACAAACTAGGAAATGTTCCCATTAACCACCTAAAATGCACTCTCAGGTTGGTCATAAAAAGCAGCTAAAGCTACTATGGTACTCAGAGCCACTCGCTACTATGGATTTCCTGGAATGAAGGGGAGGAGAAAGGGAGTGAGAACATTTATTTCTTTTGTTGTGAAAACACCATCAACTTATAATTTCGGAGAAGAGATTCAGAAAGCTCTTTCTAATTACAAGGTTAGACGAACTACTGAAAAAATTAAACAGTGAGAAGAGCTAGAGCTGGTCAGCTTTGAGAATTTTCATCTCTAACAAAAAGATCTCTACAGGTTGAGCTGGAAGAGGTGTAAACTGCCTCTACCCTAAGATGAGAAACAAACATGAAAACATCCAGTGTTAATTAAACAAATTTAAAGGTCTGGTTCATTAACCTGTGACCAAAACTGTTCAGCTGAAGAAAAAAGTGTTTTCTTAAGTTTGAGAAAGTACACTTTAAGGCACCATTTTTTTCCCCATGTAAATACCCTCATTCATTTTACTGACAGAACAGATTTTGCTACCCCATTCCTCCACCTACATGCATATACTGAGTAAGCATCTTGCACTGTAAATATGTCTTGTAAATAGAGTAGGATTTCTTGCAGGCAGTGTTCTTACAGTTATGGGGGCTTGAATGTTTAACCTGATTCCAGCTGTCCAGTTTAGAAAACCTTTTACAACTTCCTTGTGATTGTGATCCTTCACCTACATTTCCTAAAATGATCACAGAAAAAATAAATCTGAAAACTCTGGAATGAAGTTGTCAAGGCTCTGGTCCCCAGTGGATGGATGTATAATCCAGAATATTCACCAAACTATTCCTACTTTCCAGAGATTCTTGCTGGCAGTGATGGGTTCTGATATGTCCTTTACATATCTTCTTAGGACAGAAGCTCGATCAGAGAGTAATTCTGCTCTCACTCATTATCCCATAATGATTAATAAAACAACTTTTATAAAAGAATATGTGTCTTCCCAGTAGTTTGTAAGCCAATATGAGCAGGCTGTGCTTGCCTTGGAAACAGATGAAAACTGTTTGCTATTGTTTTGACACAGAAACTGCCCAGCATATCAATTTACATTTGGTACAGCAGTAATGTGACTTCCAGTCAGGTTGGTATGTGCATAGTTTACTCTCATCCATCTGCAAAATATGGTACAGACGTAACCTTAAATCATGGGAGTCTACCATACTCAATAAATCATGAGAATCTAACATACACAAAAATTAGAACCCCTGCTCATCACTGATGGCTTGCCACAGATGTTGACAGCTTCTTCCATCCTCTTGTTTCTAGAAGGCTTTGCCTAGTTAAAATGTTAAAATGCAAATAGATTTGATCACCATAGATTAAAGAATACACCTTACCTTGTTCACAGAGGGCACCTACATAGCTTGGCAGACACAAGCAAGCAAAAGTATTGGGGCCATCTATACACGTGGCTCCATTCCGGCATGGGTTAGACTGGCATTCATCAATATCTGCAACATAAAGATAAAAGTGGTTTTATAATCCAGTCACTGCCTAGAAGGGAAAAGTTGGCCCTTAGCCTTAGTCATAACTAGCACCAGTTCAATCTAGAAGAATGAAGTATTGCAAGACATCCAAGTGACCAGCTGATTTGCACGGTCATGGATTTCACTATGCACAACCTTTGTTTCTCTTCATCCACAGGCCATGAAGCTGTTCCCTCAGGAAGTCTGACATTACTGATCGACAACTCTGTATCCTGTGCTCTATCTCCTGAGTTACTTTCTACCATCCAGACCTTCAGTTCCTCCCTATGTAGATGTGAAAGAAGTGACACGGAGCACTATGTGGTATTTTCCCATACTGGTGGAAAATTTGACTTGAGCGTGTCACTACAGAACAAAAAAGTTCTCTTCAAGTACTGGAGACCTCAGATACCTTCACAAACCTCAAAAATGGAAATCTTACAATATAGCATTGATTTCAGTTTTCAGTTTGCTAATTTCAGTCTGCAATGCAGGATGTGTTGGCATCTTACTGGTTTGCATTTCTTGTTTCTTCTGTCTCTAATCTTACTAAGCAAAGCATCGTAAAGAAGCTCACTAAATGACCAGTGAGATTGTAATATTTAGTCATGCTTACTGTTGAGCCTATGGCTCCAGGATAAACAAATAGCATTTCTCTCCCATACTCCTCTGGCTGCCAAAATACCTTGCCTTTGCCTTTTAAATTGGAGCACTAGTTCATTTTGTATTACTTAGTGCATGTATTTGCACAGGTTATAAAGTAGTATGTCACTTTATAAAGATTATATTGTGTTTTCTAATGAGTGCTGTTCCTCTGAAGCAATCACAGCTTAAACCTCAATGCAGATTTTGAAAACACCTTAGTCCAAAGTGAACTGCCTTTAGTGACTGACTATTAAAATATAAGAGAGAAGTTAAACATATCTACAAACCAGCAAACAGTTGTGCAATCCTAGGAATAATTGCTGCATCATGTGAAAGGTTTAAATAAAAATTTTATTTAAAAACCTACTTCTATTCAAGTTTTATGTTAGGTCTTATTTGTTCCAGTGATTTGGAAAGATTTCAAGTCAATGTTTTAAGCCTTTTATACAGAATATCCCTGGATCTAGGGCTGAAAATGCTGAGTTTTATTTTCTTAAGCGCCACAGAACATACTTCTATATGGACACTGGCCATGTAGTTTCCTACTCCAATTTATTAATAAGACACTAAATGTTCTAAAAGTGGCCAGATTATTCTTTTTACATGTTATTATTATTATTAATAATAATAAAAAGAATAGAAAATTATCTCTGACCTCTGGTTTGCAACCAGGGGATCCCATATTCCTTGACACAGAAAAATATTTTAGGTGCAACGTCTAAAACTTGATACCAGCAACAACCCACTAGGGAATCAGCAAGCTCATCAACATGAGGTAGGAAAGCAGAAGAAAATATTGGCTGATAGTCGTTTTCATCACATATTACCTTGCAGAACACAAATAAAATCATTATAATCCTGACAGTTTTGCTGCACCAATACCAGTCTTTGGACGGGGTTGGGTTTTTTTCTACCACAGCTATCTATGATGAGTTGAATTCATTTTAGCAACTTTGCATGAGTGTTTTGTCTTTCAAATTTGGCAGGCAACTGCACAACAGGCAAATCCATGGTATTTATCAGGGAAATAAATTCAACAGCTTTTCAAAAGTTTGAGCAGCCAAACTACTGCTTCTATCATAGTTTGGCTTGCTAGTTTGGAAGGAAAAGCTAGTTATTCTGAACTGTACTGGTGAGTCTCTTGAAACTCACAGTCATGGCAGGTAAACACAGATGTCACAGGCAGCTTAAAGAGGTCCTCAGCTAGAAGAGTTACCAAAATACTAATTCATACCAAAGATGTATATAATTATGACCATATTTACAATTTTATTGAAAAAATAGCAAGCTGGCATCCAGTGCTCATATTCTCAGTCACATTTGGGATGACTTTATCTTACCACCTTTTCAAATGGTTACACAAGGTTCTTAAGAATTATCCCAAACATTAGTGTTTATGTGGGTTTATTTGATGTATTTATAAATTTAATGTGATTAGTTCTAGGTCATTTATAACACTCATGCTTGTGTGCACACAGTCTGTGCATTTTATGGTGAGAGAAAAGGGGTAAGTGAACCCCCTTAATTTCATTGTTCTTTTCTCAAGTAAGACCTCAGTGTAGAATTTTTCAAATGTCCATGTACTCTCCTACTTTAAAGCAGACCACTTCTGCATATCTCATGTATGAAAACTTTATGCTTGACTCAACCAATTTTCTAGATGGCATCAGCTTACCTAATTCACACTGCTCGCCACTGAAACCTGGCAAACAAGTACAAATGTAGAACGATCCGCGTGGGTAGCAGGTGCCACCATTAAGGCAGGGATTGCTTTTGCATGGATCTTGGCCTGTTAAACAAGTAAAAAAAGTAAAAATTGATTCTGTTCTTTCAAGGGACCGATGTCTTTTTGATTTCTTCAAAGAAGAAATCTTTCTTCACTTCGGCACTCAAACTGCAGGATTTGCGGTAGTTACAGAAACTCTGTTAGCCTAACAGACTACTGAGAATAAGATGGTTTTGTAAAATAACAAAACTTATTTTCAGGCATCACTATTTTCAACCTTAACAACAACATGGCATTTACTACCAGTACAAAAACTTTTCAGAATTACATTTTCTTATAGCAATTTGTACTATATTTGGCAGTCATTATATTCTATTGAGTATTTAGTTTGCGTGACATGACAATTAATTATAGCTGAAAACAGTTAAGCATATGCAAAATGAATGGAAAATGCTTTTCTTTTTGAATAGGGTTAGTTTATGTAGAATGATTGGGTACACAGAACATACTGGCTGGCTACTGTTGTTTCACTTTGTTATATTTAATCAATCAATGCCCACGAAGTCTGATTTCTTCGAAAGGATGTTTTCACACAAGTGTATTTCCCACCTGTCTTTCTTAAAAATATATTTCAAGAATACAGATAAAGTTACTGAATGTTTGTAACTGAACCAAACATTAAGATGAAAGCTTACCTGCTGTGAAATCCTCAGTTGTTATCGGAGTTATCATTTAAATAGCTTTTCCTTGCAGAGTTTTATGCCTTCTAGTGATGTTTGTTTCAACTGAGTTTAGATACCTAGGTATTTGCATTTGATTTAATGCCTAGGAGCAATGACTCACAGAAACAAGTATGTACTAGATAACCATTTCTAAATATTAGCTTCTTAGAGACAGAGGAAAATCATGAAGACAGTCCTTCTGGGATACATGAAGAAAGCTCAGGCTTTGAAAACTTGCAAAATGTATAGAGGAGTTCTGTAACCTCAGTTAATTCACAGACACAAGAAAAGTAGATTTTTGGTTACACTGTTCCAAAACAATCGATGTTTTACAAAATAGAAGATAAATTACATCTATTTTACCCTTGCAAGTTAGACATTCAAAGAAGTCTTCTTAAAATACTCAGTTCCCTATCTAGTCACTGGAAAGCAGAGGATTTAGTCGAGAGCCTCCAGAAGAAAATCCCGTCTACATAAGTTTGGGATCATAATTAAGTGGGCAGCATCTCACTTTGGAGGTTTTGAAAAGACTCTGGCCATACCCATAAAATAGGGTGTTTGTTTTATGACTGCTTCACTGAAAGTTCCAAATGTAGGGCTGTCTAAACACCTAAAAATATTTGTTGTGCATTTATGGTCTGTTTGTCCTCGTACAGACTGGATATTTTCCCAGTAAATATTTTCAAATTGACAGCTACCTGTAATATTGGAGGAAAAATAACAGAAAACCCTATTAAATTGAGCTAGTTCTGTTCTTTCCTCAGCTATAGCTAGATAAAATATGAAGAGATCCTACTCATACTGACCCTACCTGCATGATCTGTGTATTTGGTGAAATGAAATAACCATTATATAAAGCAAAATACTATGTCAAATGACATCTAACAAAAAGATCTGTAAATTCATAAGAGACGGACACTGTATCAACCAGTTAAAGCTACAGACAGGCTGAAAATGTGAAGTCTTCATTATATCTTTTCTGAAAAGTTATCTTGTAGGTTAAGAGAAGTTAATTTTTATAGAAAATCCTGACCCTAAAAAGTGCACTAGATCTACTCTCTGTGGCAACTGCAAGATGTTATAAAACAACCCTACCTATAAACCAATTGTCTAAGTACTATCATTATGCCAACACAGAAAAGCTATCAGGTAAAATTATCTGTTGGAAACTGGAAAATTAAATAATTACAGCTGAATTCTCTGTCACAACCAATTTTACCTTCCTGCCTTTTAGAACTGGCTCATGGCCTCAAGTCTGATTCAGAGCTCCACGATGGAAACACTCAGGAAAAGTCACTGAGCTTGAGTTTTGGTACCCCCACCCTCCTTCACTTTGTAGGGGTCACAGTCATACTGATTTCAAAGCTTGAGGCTCACAAGTTGTGTTGTTATTTCACACGGTGCTCTGATTGTCATGACTCTTTTATCAGAGTCAAGACACACATTAACAAGTATCACAACAAGTATATACAACAGTGATCATATTTGGAAGTTACCTGGAATTTGCACTGCTGTGCCTTCAACTGAACCCACACTGGTGCCAATCAGGAAATCTGATCCATTAGTGACTTCCGGAAGAGAAAACGATGAAGTTACAAGTTCAAAAGTATTTGGCTCCTCAGAGCTGATCGTTGAGTGCTTATTTTGATAGGGACTGATTCCAGGGGCAATGCTGTTTGTTGCAATGTTAGAAGAAGTTGTTGTGATCTCCTCTTGACCAAAAATCCCTGATTGTGTTTCCACGCTTCTATCCAAAGGTTGTGAAGATGAAACTAGCATCGTAACTGCTTCCTGGTCAGGTTTAAATACTTCACTTCCAATACTGTTGGGTGAATCTGAAACTGGTGTGGAAAAAAGCCATGGGATCTCTCTTTCAGTACTCCTGCCATCTTCTTGATGGGGGTTGTTCACTCTCTCTGAGGAATCTCCAGCTTTCATTGTGCTAACTGTTGGAATATCTGTGCTCACTATTTCTCCAGAATTTAGAAAAGCAGTAGGCAAGACATGTATTGATGGAGAATCTCCAGAAACAGTAGCTTCTTCCCCAGCAGCCAAATCAGTCACAGAGGTTTCGGTCTCCTCTGTCCTGTCTGTTACAAGCCCATTAAGGTGAGGAGTACTTTCAGTAGTTCTGCTTTCTGAAACAGGCTTGGGAGAAAACTCCAGCAGAGAAGACTCTGTTCTGCCGAGAAGGTCTGTGGTGGGTGGTTTATATGTTGCTGCAATATCAGAACTAACCTCTTTGAAAGTTCCTTCTGATGAATAATTGGACTGATCTGAATCCTTTGATGGTGATGTACTTGGAATGATTACCTCAGGATACTCAGATACTCCATTAACTAACTGGACAGTTACTGAGGATTTAGGAGTTTCAGGCACAGAATAAAAGCTTGCTGAGTCTGTTTCTTCATATTCTGCTGATGCTGATTTTGTGTTTGTGTATACTGTAGTGTGCTTTTCTTCATTCTTGCTAGTTGATACAGTTGTCAGCTGGGAAGTACGCTGTGTGGTGACAGTACTTACATCAAACATGTCTGTTGTTAAAACCTTTTCTGTCTCAGTAGTTAAAACTGGTGTAAGAGAAGGAAGCACATGCTGCTTATTATCCAGCTCTTCTTGGCCCATTCCAGAAAAGCCAGAGACAGAGATTGTTTCATTTTGATCTATTATTTGGTTATTCGCTGAAGTATTCAGCTCGTAGGTGTCTTCTGTTTTACTTGTTACAACATTTTTAGACTCAGGAGGCACGTGAGGACTTGCTAGTGATGGTACCGTGGGAAGGAAAATGTCTTGTTCAGAGAGCTCTGTAGTGATGAGAGTTTCTGTTACAAACTTCATGGCATTCCCTGAACCCAAATCCTTGTCATCTGATTTTGGTCGGTATCTGGTTGTTACTGATTCACTACTTGGTTGACGGGTGGTCAAAGAAAGACTATCATCAGATCCAAGTGTGTTCCCTTTGTTTATGGAAATTTCAGATGTTGAATCATATTTCTCCCCGTCTGCAGTCATGCTGTCGTCACCACCATATGTAGATTGCATGACAAGATTTGGCATTGTCTGTACGGCTATAATATCTTCAGGCATTGATTTTGAGTGATCCATGTCTATAATCGTCGTTTTTTCTGGTGGGATTTGAAGTCGTTCTTCAATTAGCGTAATATCACCATAAACAGAAACGTTCAATATAACACTTCTTTTATCATCAAAAATGGGAATAATTTTCTCATATATCCCAGTATCACTTGTTAGTTCTTCTGATGAAGTTGTCTTTGGTTGAACAACAGGTGGATTGGCCACAATCTCTTTTTCTTCTGTAAAAAGGGGTGCTAGTCCTGTGATCACAGTCTGTGACCCATTTATCGGTGTCTCTGTTGTCATAACTTCAGAATAACCTTCCCTAGAAACACTAGATGAAGCATTTAGTTCTACCTTTGACAAAGGGGGTATTGACAAACGGGTAAACATATCAGGAGAAGATGAATCCAAAACACCCACCCAGCCAGATCCTTCTCCAGAGCTTTCAGGTAATACCCTGTCTGGCATTTTTGTTGTTGACATTAAAAATGATTCTTTTGTTTCAAGACTAGGAGTTCCACTCAGTATCACAGAAACAGGAGTTACCCCATCTTGAACCAACAAATGTGAAGTTTCCTCTTGAGAAAGTCCTTTAGAAGTAGTTGATGCCTCATCTGTTTCATTTCTGTCTCTCTTAGTTTCCTTATTATGAGGTTCTTCAGTCAGAACAAGATAATGTGTCATGTCTTTAACCTCTTTTGAGATGAAGCTTCTGGAACTCTCTTCTGCTAAACCTGGGGAACTGGTGATCACTGAGCTGAGGAACGGATCTGTTTCTGACAGCAGCTCAGTTACAGCACTTGTGACTTCTTCACTAACTTCAGTGTTTGGTTCAGTGCTTTCTTTTTCAAAGTCTTGCGTCTTGTTAGTTGAAAGTTTGAGTCCCATATCTGCAGGATGAGAAGTCTGAGGACTTGGAGTACTCATGATTTCTTTGACAGTCAATGATACTACAGAAGGAATAACAGCAAGGTCATCTCCTGATCCTTGCCCTGAAAATAACGGATCTCCAGTGAGCTCATTATTTGTTAGGTTTTCTTCTCTTGGTGTTAGGAGTGATCTGGGAATATCTTTTGTAGGGAACACATTTTGTACAAGCTCATTCTCTTGCTCTAGAACTGTAACTGGAGAGCTTATGTATTTCCTCTCAATCTTTACAGGCTCGGTTACTCTGTCATCATTAAATGGCAATAGTATTTTTTTAATGGATTCAGTTTCTAATTCCTTTTCTTCTGAATACCAACTGACGGTCGGAACACTTAAAAATCCCGAATGTTCATGGTTAGCCTGTGTACTTTCAAAGAATGGGTGTGTTGTTGTATCTTCAGAATATTCTACAGATTTTGGTGAGATTTCTATTGGCCTATCTTCCCCAGAATGTATATCTTCCACTAAAGGAATGTTTGTAGAAAAAGCTCTCACTGTCAGTTCATCAATTGTTTTCTCTTCTGTTCTTATGTCAGTTACAGTTCCCAATGTGGTTACTTCCTGTTCAGCACTTGTGACGAGATCATCAGGTCTGGTAGTGAAGCCATGATCCACAGATGGTGTGCTGATAACTTTTCTGCCATACTTCTCTTGTGTTTCTGGTTTCCCAGTAGGTGAAACAGCTGTTTTTACAAATGCTTCAATGAATGTGTCGGCTTCACCAGATCCCTGATCAATAAATGAGAAATGATTTCCAAGTATTTCTTTGGTTGGTCCATTAGACACTAGTTTTGTGGTGCTGCTGTCATCTTTGAATTCTTCTCCAGAGCCATGCTCGATCAGCAGAATCTTGCCCAATGAGACAGTTGAAGAACTGAGTTTTGCATTTTTGGTTTCCGCAGATTCAGCTGCTGTATTTACACTGCCAGTACCATGTGTCACCATGATGCCCTGGGGGCTGTAACTACTGACTGATTCGGGAGACGACGTGACCTCTTCTGTTTCTTCAGTTTTAACTCCTGGTGCAGCATGAGATATCACCTCTCTTCTAGGACCAGGACTAGATTTTACTTCAGAAAGAGCTGTGTAAGTTGGTTCTGCTTCCTGGGTTTGTTCTCCTGGGTTTCCTGTACTGAACACATCCTGTGGCATCTGACTTGCTCCTACGGATTCCTTTGTCAAGCCATTTGACACAGTACTTGAAACTGGTGTTGCAAATTCATCTGTTCTTGCATGTTCTTCGTATTCTGTTGTTGCATTCTTCGGTAAAGGATCATCTATGCTGTCAACTTTTCCTTCAAGCTTATCTATCTGTATTTCAGTGACAGGCCTTAATGGAACTGAAGTCAAAGTAGCAGACTCAGTGATAGCATCTATGTCTCCAGAACCTGAATCAATAAATGGGGAGTCAGTACTTACCACTTTTCTTGTGGGACCCCCTGAAAATATATCTGCTGGTTCTTCTGCTGATCCTTCATTTACAAAAACTTTCTCTCTCAAGAGAGGAATGCTGGTGACTTTTTTGATTTCAGAAGTCATGGTACCTGTTACCAGTACATTTCTTCTGAGCAGAGTGGGCTCTTGACTTACAGTTCTGACTTCAGTAGTAGTGCTCCAAGGTTCACTTATCTCTGAATTTCCTTCTGCAGCAGTAGCTGAATTTTCCTGGCTTGAATAAACAGTGGTCTGTGTTTCTTTTTCATCATCAATATTCTTTTCAGTTACAAGAGAGCTGGCAACTACTTCTTCCATAATAAGCTCAGACACAGAATTGGTGGCAACAGTTACTGCAGAACTTTGATCAAAAGCAGGATAAAGAGTGCTTATTCCTCTGGGCAAAGCAGAGGTGATTCCTGAGGCAGTTGCAGAAATTTCTGATGGCAATACTGTGTCTGAGCTCAAAGAACTATCTTGTATTGAAAGTGTTTCTGTTACTGCTGCTTCTAATGTCATGGCTGAAGTTACAGTGATGTCCTCTTCTACATCTCCAGAGCCTTCTTGAACTATAAAAGAAGAAGCATATATCTCAGGCTTTGATGTATGACTACTTGTTTCCAAAAGATTTTCAACAGGGGAATTTGCATGAAGTTTTGTAGTTGATTTGTAATGATCTCCTGGGGCAGTGGTTGCCTCTTCAGGAATAATGTCTTTCACACCTATGCCTACTGTAGCAGTACTAAAAACTGCATCCAGGGAAGCAGTTACAAGAGAACTTTCCACAGTAAATGCATCAGGAGCAGAAATTATGCCAGAACTTTTTTCGTCATCGTCCTTTCTTGGCAGTGTTACATTTTCTAAGAAGACAGAACTGGATAAATCAGATTCAGTGGAGCCATCTCCAGAAGATTCACTACTAATCAAGAGCAAGTTTTTTGTTTCTTTAGTTGAGCTCTCCTCAGTTCCATGCCATGTCATGGTCTCTTTACTTGTTTGCAGAGACTGTTCATAGGAAGAAGTAATGGCTATTGATTTATCTGTTGTGGACACCACTTCTGACTCACCACTATAAACAGGTTCTAACATTGCAACATCTGCTGTTGGTTGTGTGACTTCAAATGCCCCTATTACTTCTCCAGCTTTGCTTGGTTGCATAGTACCAGAAGCTTCTGTTTCAGGTATTATAAATGTGTTTGTTTCATTGATTTGAGAAAAGGTTACATTTTTGGAATGTGCAAGGCTTTCAATTTGGTCACTTCTGGCTTCCTCAGCTTTTGTGCTCTTAGGTGCACTAGTAACTTGTTGCTTTCCATTGATGAACTGCAAAGCTGGAGGAGTTGTAACATCAGTAGTATTTTCACAGTCTTCCTCTTCTTCAAACTCTATAAAAGGATCCAATATTATATATTCAGACAAATCCTGCTCAGAGTCTGAAGTACAGGGTTCAGTCTGAGCTGATTCTGCATCAGTGTGGGGTTCATGTATTGCATGAGGAAGAATGTGGCGACTGAACAGATCCAAAAATTCATTCACCGGATGATCTGAAAAAAAAAGAGAGCTTTTCATAATCCCTAAGTGACAGCAACAGTTGTGCATTATAGCAGGCATATGAAGTACAAGTAACCCATCGCAGAAAAAAAAATAAAAATTAAACACAGTGAACTCGATATGTTCTTCTATTGACACAAAGTTAAATGTTGCCACAGTGACTTTCTAGTTGAAGGTTTTGCATATTCTGAACACACTGATTTCATAATACTGTTGATTGCCATGCATATTTAGTCCCAAACTCACACCCAAGCTAACACTATTCAGCAGAGAGAAGAGCTGGACAAGATGAGAATCGATTTTAGTCCAAAAAACTCTGGTCCCACCTGCAGCAACTGTTTTCATGGATTTGAGGTGCTAACTGACCTTTACCAAATACTGAACTTCAACAAAGCTAAGCAAGGCAAAGCCTAAAACAAAACAGGACATAGAGAATATGCCTCTGCAACTCTATTTATTCTAAATATAGAGTAATTCAAAGCAGTAGAAACACAACAAAAACCACATCAGTCGCTCTATTCTTTACTCTTAGACCCTAGGTCAGTAAATAAAATCTCACTACACAAAGTTGTTGCTATTTGGCATTATAAAACATTATGAAACAAGTGAGAAAAAAAATCTGTGATTCAAAAATCAGTCACCATTCAGTCAGTAACATGAGCAAAGTCTAGCTGTTCCCTTCTGCCTACCACTCACTTCGAATTACTTGCACACTCCTACAGTTCACAAACCTCTTAAATATTTTTTCTAGGTGGCCAAGCAGATAAAGAGGAGGAAGGAATTTCTAAGTAGACAAGATTTTAGCTGCAGAAGCCCTCTTGAGTTGCTCTAACATTTAAGATCCCAAATCCCATGGACACTTTTTAAATGCACCCTCAGCACAAACACTACTTCAAACCTTCTGTTCCAGACAATAAATGATACCCTCAGTAAATAAAAGAGAAAAAAAAGAAAGGGTTACAACAAACTCAGTGGAAAACCAAATTCCAAATTTTAGGCTTGGCTGATGGATTTGAAGCTGGAAAGTTTGTGCTGAAATCTTATTCCATGAATATGTCTTTCCTCTGAGCCTGTGTTTATAATTGTTTTGTCTTAAGCAAAATTACTGTTTGCTGGTATAAACTGGTGTAGCCAATGGAGCTTTGTCTACATCTGCCAGTAAAGTGTCAGAACCAACATAGAAGATTTGTGTCTTACAGTGCTGTCAGCAGTGATTGATCCCCAAAGAGTATTTGCAGGTAGCCTGGCATACCCAGTATACAACAGAGTGCGTTTTCAAAGTAAAACTTCCTTGTTAAAACTATTCACAATATGTAAAAAAAAATGAGAACCTGACAGGTAAAGCACTTCATTAGTTTGAAGTCATTCCTCTACATATGAACAACTCTGTCGAGAATTAATGTTCTAATATCTCATACCATGTTTACAACTAAACTCATAAAGTGTTACTGAATCTTCATTTTACTAAACCTCCAGCTGAAAAGTAATGGCAACTTCAAGTCTGCTTTGTAAAGAACACATAATAGGGTGCTCTGAATCCGCGGCTTTGATCTAATTGTCAAACAACTCAAGAAAAATTAAGGTCCATGCCAGCCTTATAGAGAATAAATCTCCCTTATCATTGTGCATTTCCACTAAAACATTCAGTTTATACAGCACTAAGCTTAGCATTCCCAGTGCAAGGACAACAACCAAGGGTTAATTTCTGCCTGGCTATTCACCTGGCTCCAAAGAAGCCTGGTGTTTACTTTGTGCTATGACTTCTCTCTTAGATGACTACAGAATGGAAACTCCTCTCTCCCCCACATACACTTGTTGGGAGTTGTTGTATGCAACACTTGTACAGACAGAATTTCTCCCCGTTCCTTCTACCTGTAGATTAGAAAAATTTATGGAGGCTATCTGATGCCACAGAAAAATATAGCTTCTGCAGCCATTGATTTGGGTCTTTCCAGATCTCCATTTCAAATTTTGTTCAAGTAGAAAAGCAGGGATGTAGTTATTTTTCCAAGACTTTCAATATGATGTGGGGAAGCATTGCTAATAAAATCACTTTCAGAATTCAGAAATTTTAGTGAAATTTAGTGCAGTATGACTAAACTAGCAACACTAGTCATACTGCACTAGATTTCACTAAAATTTCTGAATTCTGAAACACTAGTCATACTGAGGAGTCATATTTTAATAAAAATAGCAGCTCTAAGTGACACAGAACTTTACACCTTCTTTTCAAAACTGCAAATACAAAACCACAAGGGTATTCAGTAACTGAAAGGGGAATGGCAAGTCAAAGCTGCTAGGGAGCTCTGGGAGTTTCTCAGTAAATTCCCTATAAAACGGCTGCAGAGAACTGCACATATAAATGTGCATGAGCAAGGAAGATGGCTTGTACTGTATGCACAGCTTAAGAATGAATATGTGTAAACAGCCTGGTGTATAGTCTAGTGTGGCATAAGGATCAATTATGATTTCATACACAGCTGTATAGGACTGGGTGCACAAAGCATGTAGCACGCTTTTGCACAGAGCTACACATTTAGAAAAAAATCACAAAAATTGGTTGGGACTGGATAGGCTGTAATTTGTAGGAGGGTACCATGACTAACAAGTTCTGACCAGTGTATTATTTTTGTAGCAGTGCACACCTGGGAGTCCCTCAAATTACCAGCTCACACTAAATCATTTATGGTAGGTAATAAATTTAATGAACAACATCTGTTCAAAATTCACCTAGAAGACATATACAAATTCTTACATACACAAAGATCTCTATCAGACCTTACTTTTACTTTGTTAGCTTTTTCAAGATCTCACATGCCACAAAGATCCACATAAAAGAACCTCAGCTAAAGGTATGGTATTCCAATAATAAACTTTCAGGAGGCTCTTTCATTAAATACTAAGCATTTTTGTTTGGGGTTTTTTTCCAAGAAAAAAAATAACCACCTTTTAAGAAAAAAGAACCCAACTGATTTATTTATTTTTTTTAATTAGAATTTCTTCTCCATTCTAGAGCTCTGATTATTCAGTATTAGCAATTATATTGACAATCTTCAGGGTAAACAGCTATGGAAAATTCTCTTAATTGGCCAAAGATGGCCAATAATCTACATAAGAATATAGCTCATATACAGCCTCCTTCTCCAAGAGCAAGCAAGACACTAGGATGAAAAACTAAGTGCTACCAAAAAATATGACTATAGGAGAGAAAAACCTTATCTGTTGAACTGGTTTGTTAGACCCTCAGGGCAGACATATGAACACTTGCAATAGTTTTAAACTGTCTAGATGCAGCTGACATATGTTGCCCTTATTTATGTTCAAGTCCATTCTAGCAAGCAAAGACATATAGACTGAAGACTATTAATAAAGGATGAAAGGAAAGAAGTTTGGCTCCTAAATTAACTTATCAATAGTTCATACACCACCATAGCAAACAAGCCAAAAGGATCACTTGTATAAAGAGGTGTCTTGTTACCATGACTCCAAGAAAAAGAAACTAAAACCAAGTAGCTGAAAAAGTAGTAAAACCAAGAGCTGTCAGTTCAGACTGCCAATACAAACAAGTCCTAAAGGAGATTTAGAAGTAAAGCCTCTTACTGTGGGAAGTGATGAGGTATGCAATGAAACAGAGATGGAATAGATAGGTGAATAAGTGTACACGCAGCCTAGGGTGTTTCTTAATCCATTTAATAAGCCTAGATATTTTAAATTACCTATAAGGAATAGGCATCTATCTCAGTAACAGCCTGCTACTATCTGTAAGAAACAGAAACCCCACTGGCTATGTGCTGGTTTTTAGCTGCAGGAGGACTTGACTGCTACTACATGTAACCACAGTGGAACTGAGGTGACATTAATTTTCATTACAACCCTTCTAATGACACTTGGTTCTAAACCCACATTAATTTTTCACTGGATCAAACATAAAAGCCACCTCATGTTACTGATGGATAGGGTAAATTCTCCACATGAAAAAAAAGTGTAACATGTAGTAACATCTTTTTCTTGAGAAGCTGTTTAATATTCTACAAAGAACCCCAGAGGGCTTTTCTAAGATCATTTTTGAGAGGACAGGCAGCAAAAAGCAGTTTCTCTCTCAAAAACCTTCAGATAAGAAACTGAAGAAGAATTATTAGAGAATTAAGTAGAAAACAGACTCTGATGCTTTCCAAACTTTCAAAAACCTAAGTATTTCACTCAGAAGACTTATGGATTTAGCACATTTTTATGAAGTCTCATTCAAAACAGAACTGTTAACATCTAATCCAGCATCCTGCAGATAACAGAATTGCACCTACAGATTCCCACAATTTGTCAGTTTCCTTCGTGAGAAGTAATAGAGTTCAGTCTTTTTTAGAAGGATTATAGTTCTGATAAACCCCAGGAATTTCCTGAAAGATTCACAAAATGTTCTGTAGTCTTTAAATTAAGCCCTATAGCTGTACTATAATAGAGCTAAAAAGATAAAAAAAAAAAAAAAAAAAAAAATTAAAAAGAAGATAAAAACTGTTTTGGGTCATTTGTTTCTAAAGCGTGCACTTCACTGCATGGTGTGACACTATCCCAAACTCCACAATATTCACTACCAAGAACTTGCAACCAGAAGATAGGTTAGCATGAAAAAACTAAATCGTTTGCATTGGTTAAATTTCTTCCTACACTTGACCCAGAGAATTTGGTTTTGGCTTCAACAGAATGATATCAGAGTGAATTTAGACCATGATATGACTAAAATGTCATTGAAGTACTGTATGTATGTGGTTCTGTATCAAATTTCTGCAAACAAAACTTTTGGTGACTGTGAAAACAAATAATGAGTTAACCTGCACTGAAAACAAAAAATGTTGGACTCAGAGAGAAAAGCAACAAACAATTTTACATAAAAAATTGAGAAAACGTTTTTTTTCCCCCCCTTATGAGTAATTTTAAACTACTGTGTTTTCCATGTTAAATCACAATGTTTCTTCTCCACAGATACATATTCTACACT